TAACTGGTTTTGTTACAGGATGATAAATGCTACTTTGTACTACAGGAGTGGAAAAACATAAAAATAGGGCTTATTTTTATGTTAATAACAAGCAAGCATAGATTGTAATAAGGAATACAACTAGAAAGTAAGTAGATAAATGTGATCTTTCTGGCAAACATGAAAAGTTGTGCCTCACAACTCTGTGAGATTCAGTATTACAAATGTTTTTTTAAATTACTCATCAGAATTGATATGCGTCTGAGACACTTGATTTGTTTGGAACTACTTTAATATGTCATAGGATACTTACTTAATTCCTTATAACTTTTCTAGTCACTGCTTCTTCATGTTATCCTTCTCAGTTGGAATGCTTTATGGTTCTTGCCCTCACTTTGGATTCTACATCCTACAAAGTTACTTACCAGTTTAACAGATAAGTAGAGCAGTAAGGGGCAAGTTGACCTGGCTGAGAAAGAAATGCAACACACTGTTACTTTTGTAATTGCTGTTCAGTGTCAAAGAACATCACTTAAATTTTACTTACATTTAATGTTCTTCTGACTAGTAAGCAAGAAATCTGAAAGTATAACTATGAAGATGGTCTTTCTCTGGCATTACCCAACACAGACACTAAGTCACTCTGTCACAAGGATGGAGGAATAGGAGTAAAAAGTATTCCAGGGAAAGAAAAGCCAAACTGTTTTTGTTAAATGACTATCTGTATAGTTCAGTTTTAGTTAACAAAATTATATGGTTACATGTGCCAGCTATTTCCCTAGGCTTTCCTGCTCTCATTGGAGAGGCAGATTCCTCTAGAGTATTACTTAGGATTTAGCACAGCTAAATCCTAGCACAGCTCAGGAATGCTGCCTTCTCAAATATAAAAAACCAATTAACTCACTTCTCTCAGACTAAATAAATCTGAGAAGGCATTAACAGATGGGTACAGGCAATGTAGGTTTTAGATGCTAAAAATGCAAGTTAGTCTTACATAGACCAATAATGGTAGACTTAATGCCAACAACACACCACCAGTCAATTACCAAAAGTGTCATCCTGGTCATTGTTAAAATGGGTTTTCTGCATCAAATGGTTCACCAATATGAAAGTGCCCAACTCTGACTAGATCTCAGTTTAATGACTTGTTAGACATTTTTGTTTTAAGTGCCTGGGGAGCATTATAAACTCCCTGGCAGTATTTCAATACTACAGTCAAGACTGATTTTTTTTTTTTTTTTTTTTTTTTTTTTTTTTTTTTTTTTTTTTTTTT